GGGCCCTGAGGGGTTGGGGGGGGATGCGAGCGGCCCTGGGTCGTGATCCCCTTGGTAGAGGAGGGGTTGGGAGCTGGCGCTGCCGTCGACGGATCCCCAGGGCGCTGAAGGCAGAGGGGGGAGGTCCTTTGTTGTGGCCGGGATGGGAAACGAAGCCGACTCGCTGTTTCAGCAGAAGGGGGTCTCCGAGGAGGAGGGTTTGGGGCAATGACAACGCGGTGACTGCGACAGTCTCCTGCGTGCCTCTGTCTTGCCCCGAGGGGGCGCTGCGCAACCTGCTGGAAAAGCAGCCGGGCCGCCAGCACCTGCACTTAAAACGGCGGGGGGGGGCGGCTGCGGGAGCAGAGTCCTTGGCTCAGCCCAGGGCTTCCGAGTCAGTGAATCAGGTCCCTGTGGGCCACCTGAGCCACCTGTGTGTCACCTGGGGATTCAGAATCGGCGGTGAAGCACGACGGTGGATTTCAGAGGCGCTTGATCTTGGACGTTTTCTTTACACACAAGTTCCTTTCTTCGTAAATCTCATTTCTGTCGAGCAGGTTTTTACTGTTCTTGCCTGGATGCTGAAGACAGTCAGTTGCTCAAGTCGCTGCTGAAGGCGGCCGCTCCTCACCCCTTTCTTCCGTTACCCCTAAAGCAGGGCTGCTGCTTGTGCCTCTCCAGTTCAGCTCGCAGCCACGGCCCCTGCTGCGCCCAGGGCCTTTTTGTTTTCATTTCAATCCAGGGTGGCTCGAAGACTTCTTAAAGATGGGATGGGGTCTTGTGTTTCTTTCCTGTTCATCTCAGTGCTGGATCCTAGTATGTCAGGGGGCGAATGAACTCGGGAGTTGGAAGGAAGGGAGGGTGTTTTGTCTTTAATTTGCCAAAGGAAGAAAACTTGTACAAACAAAACTAGAAATATCCCAAACCAACTTCGCTGTAGGACGCCTTAATTACATATAATAAAAGAACAAGATAGTCTTTTCCATAGTCAAATTATTAAAAATAAAGGAAACAAGAGAACATTATGGATAGCACTAACTAGAAGCCCAAACTACTTTATTGAACTGGGTGTAGGAATTCAATTAGGAGGCTATAAAACTAAGACCAAATCTGGCTTAAAGTAAATCCTGTCTAATACGGTAAAAATCTCAGATAACTCGCTTTGAATAAGTCTGGAGCCATTAGGATATAACCAGAATTACAGGAAAAAGTTTGCAAGACAGAAATTCTAAGTCTGATGGAAACATGAAAAGTATAAAGCATGTGCAATACTGTCCTTTTTTTTCCATTTAAAATACTTTCTTTAATGCTTATAAAGCTGTCAGTTATTACCTGTCCCTTTTTTTTTTTTTTTAACAGATCAGCTGGACATTCTTATTACCAGAATTCCAAAGGTACTGGTGAGTAGAGCATATAAAGCAGATAATACCTATAAATGACATGGTTCAGAGAAGCCAATTTTGCTGTAACTACTCACACAATGGAGTTTTTAAAATAGATGTTATTACCCTCCTTGGTGAACTGAGTCTTTAAGATTTTTCAGAGAACAATCAGCAGGTTCTTTGTCTCCCAGTAAGATGTCTTACATCAAGCATTTTAAAAACAGTACTTGAAAATAGCAATGAATCGGAAAACTGTGTCTATAACTGACGTTGGTTGAAAAGCACAGAGCACAGCCTGGGGTTTATACACAGATTGAAAGAAAAATTTTAAATTGAGTAACTTCAAAGAACCTAAAATATTTCTTAATGCTGCTATTTTCCTCTTCCTTGGAGTAAAGGATAGAGCTGCTGGAGTTAAGAGGGTAAGACCCAAAAGGCATCTAATGTTGGGGAGGGAGCAATTTCAATTTAATGATATGTGAACCTGGATTCACTTTGCTTTTCCTAGGAAATTTTATAGTCTTGACAGTTACCTAGGAAAAACACACACATTTTATACACAGATATAAAAATGCACACATACACATATAAATATACATATTAATTAATGTGGTTTTCAGATGGAATTGCTGAATCATGGCCATCTATCCTATGTTTAATATTTTGAGGAACCGCCACACTATTTCTATAGCAACTGCACATTTTACATTCCCACCGGCAATGCACAGGGTTCCAGTTTCTCCACATCCTAGCTAACACTTATTTTCTGTTTTTTTTTTGATGATAGGCATCCTCATGGGCATCTCATTGTGATTTTGATTCCCCTAGTGATTAGTGATAGTATCTTTTCATGCACTTACTGACCATTTGTGTGTCTTCTTTGGAGACATCCAAAGTCAATTCACATCCTTTGCCCATATTTCAGTTGGGTTGTTTGTTGTTGAGTTTAACAATTATTTTTATTTATTATTATTTTTAAATGTTGCATTATCTGTAAAGAAATGCTAACAAGCTTTTGAGAAACTAAATTTTAGACCAGGCTATTATATGCATTTCAGAAACATTAGCAGGGACACAAAATATATATTCTTAGGTAATCAGCCCACATTTATGACTTGAGAAAGGATTTTAAAAAGATAAACTTTTGAAATGTCAAATTAGTATTTTATTATTACAGTTTCCAAATTATGATTTAAGGGTCATAATAACAATTTCCAGATGATTTTCTATTTGTTGGCAAACTAGTCTGTCTTTCAGTATGCCATATATATTTGCTCAAATCTTAAAGAAATAAATTTAAAGTTTAATATGTAAATTTATAGTGGCCTTTGTTATCAATAATAATAAAAACAAAACCGCGCTATTTAATTCACTTTACTAAGTAAAAACTTTTAACTTAAAATCTGTCCTGCCAGCTTTATTTGTAATAGCCCCAAAGTGGAAACAACCCAAATGTCCTTCAACAGGGGGATGTGTAATCAAATTATAGTTTATATATACATGCAATGGAATATAACCCAATAAAAGGAACTATTAAAAGGAACTAGTTCCTAATAAAAGGAACTATAATAAAAGGAACTATTGTTATAATCACATGGATGAATTTTAAATTAATTATGTTGCATGAAAAAGCCAAACAAAAATAAAATATGTGTTTCCATTTATATCACTCAAGAAAATGCAAACTAATTTATCATGATAGCACATGAATGGCTCCCTGAGGTGTGTGGGGAGGAGGGAGGTGTTACAAAGAATTATTTCCTGATTAAATTTTGCCAGATACGGCTTTTCCCCTAACTGCTACTGAAGTTTATAGCCTAAATTAAGTTACTGGTCTCAGTATGTCGGAAACTGAAAACTAGTTTCCATTTTTCTGGGAATATGTCTCAACTTTTATTTTCATTGAAAGGTTATTCTTTTCATCTACCCATATCAGTATTTAAAACAATGAAGTAACTGAAATTGTGTCAAAAATAGTTTTGATAAATTTCTGCAAAGCTTTTTATTTGAACGCTGCCTCATTAAAGGGATTACATTTGTGTTATTTTATCTAGTCTAATACAGAATAGAATTTTTAAACTGTATACTAAAGCCGAATGATAAAATTTCATTGTCAATCTTTAAAGTGCAAAGCCTGCATGTATATTCCTGGTTAGTATGATCTGACATAAAATAAACTAAAAAGAAGTGTGAGCTTGTATCCCAGCTGAGTTCAAAATACTGTCCATATATAATGGTACATATATGGTAAATTTATCTATAAATATCTTAGATTTTTGTGGTCTGAAACCAAATGGCAAATCATATAGTCTCTTCAGATTTGCCCTGGCCGGTGTGGCTCAGTTGGAGCGTCATTCTGTAGACCAAAGGTGGCAGGTTCGGTTCCCTGTCAGGGCACATCCCCAGGCTGCGTGTGGGAGGCAACCAATCAATGTTTCTCTCTCACTTCGATATTTCTCTCTCTCTCCCTTTCTCTCTCTCTCTCAAATCAATTAAAAATTTATCAACAGACTCATGCTACTACAGAATAATCACTGACCCTTAAATACATAGATCTTAATAATTAATTTGAGCCGGTCTTTCTCATGAAATTCACATAATAATGTCCTTGCCTACAGATGGAATCAAAGATGGACACAAAATGAACTCACACATAGCCAAGCTACCAAAGTTATGGAAAACTCCTCAAATTCAAACAGTTCACATCCCTAAATCAATGACAGATGTGTCCTTTCTAAAGGTATGCCAGCTACCTACCAATACTTTATTTACATGCCAGTACTCTTTGTATTCAGAGCTGAACTTTTTATTGAAGATAAACTACTTAGAGCAGTGGTTTTCAACCTTTTTCATCTCATGGCACACATGAACGAATTACTAAAATTCTGCAGCACACCAAAAAATATGATTTTTTGCAGATCTGACCCAAAAAAGTAGATATAATTTTTATTCATTCACACCAGATGGCTATTGTTGGGTTGGCTGTTGTCTTTTTTTTTATTTTTTAAATTTGACAATCTAAGGGAAAAGAGGTCAGGCCCTGGCCAGGTAGCTCGGTTAGAGCATCGTCTCTATACGCCAAAGTTGCGGGTTCAATCCCCAGTCGGGGCACATACAGGAATCAACCAATGAAGGCATATATAAGTGGAACAACAAAATCAATGTTTCTCTCTCTCTGCCCCCACCCCAAACAAAAAAGTGCTTGAGGAAGGTTCCATTCTAGAGGTGGAAACCTAACCTCACAAAGATTTTGCTCAAGGACAGCATTAGAAGCGAGTAGGGAAAATGGCAGTAAGCCTTTCACATAACTGCTGTCCTGTGTTACCCATTAAAGATCAGAGCTGCCAGAGTAGCCTCTCTAGGGCAATGCACATCAGGCTTGCTAAAGATTTTCTGGCCAAACTTTTGAGTTTTCTCTGGACTATTATCTATCCAGTTCAGTAAACCGTGTGTGTGTGTGTGTACATACGTGTGTACATATATATGTAGTGGAGTCTTGTGTTTTAAGTGTTAACTTCTAAAATCAGCAAGTACAGTGAAAATCTTAGTCGAAATTACTTATATCAAGAGACCATCAGACTCTCTCTCATTCTGTCCAACAGTTATTTTTCTGGTGCTAGAAAAGACTGTTTCTGTAGTTAAACTAAGTAGAGGAATTGGGTTGCTTTTAGATACTACACTTTATAGAAGGTGAGAAGCCCACACTCACTGAGAGGCACGTGGGAATTAAGATGCACTGACTGGGGTGGTGAACACACAATACAATAGATATTGTATTATAGAATTGTACACATGAAACCTATATAATTTCATTTACCAGTGTCACCCCAATAAATTCAATGAAAAAGAAAAAAAACACCCCCCCACACACACACACGACTCACTGGCTTGACAGTGGATTCATATTTTCCTTCTTCGTCTAGGGCAGTGGTCCTCAACCCTCCCTGGGCATCTGAATCACTTGAGTGGAAACGCCAAAGCAGAGTCACTTGTACAGTTTAAATGGCCATTTCTTTCTCTCTCTTCTTGGCCAAATTAAGACAGTTGAATTTGCTTAAGTAAAATGTACAGATGGTCCGACTCTGCTGAACATTCGTCCTTTCAGATAAAAGCCTATGAACCTTGTTCTGTCTTTTAGCGTCCAGACCTCACCATAGGCCAGGAGCATTATGTGTGCAGCATTGCTGAGATCTGTCATGTGAACTATCTGAGGGTGTTAATGAAGAGGCAGTACACGCACATGGTCCAGCACAGCTCGCACAAGCCAGGCAGGTGCACCTGCAATCAGTGTCCTACTGGCCGTCACAAGAAATGAGAGGGTCCTCTAACGGAGGCGATCTGTGTGGCAGGTGTCCTCACTCACCCCAGGAGCCGCCTCAGCGCTCGGCACTCCCAGAAGCAGCATTACCCCTGCACTACATGGCGACACCAACTGGAGAGAGAGGACTCGGGGCCTTCCAACGTCGCAGCTGCGTCTGCACCTGAAATGATCACACAGCATTCCCTTTGGCGACCAGTGAGAAACAAAGGAGGGTCTGTTTCTTATTGTTCAAAAGGAGGGAAACGTACCCCCATTTATTTGAAGGGCAGCTATATGATATTAAAGCTTGTGTTCCCTGATATATTGACTTTGCCAAGTTCAGAGCAGGTGGGACACAAAGCACAAAAGGATGTTATCTTATGGCCTCTTTACTGAGCTGGCTGGGATACGCCACATCTTTTAGAACTTATTTGGGGGAACTGTCAACATTTCTTGATCAGCCAGAGATACGGAAGACCACCCTTTCCAGTGATGCCCACTCAAATTTAGAAGGATGCAAACCCTCACAAAAGGAGAAGCGTATGGTTGCTTCTGCACAGGGGAATCCATAAACAAAACAGGAGGGAAAAAGAGATAAGAGGCCTAATTATTCAGCCCCCACAATAGTTAGCTTTGCATGTCAGGGTTAATAACTCACAGGAGAATTTAGGGGCTGAAAGGATCTCTGGTGATATCTGCAGCTTAATAAAGAGAATTTGTGTAGTCTTCCACATGCATTAGGCAGCTGTTCACTTTGCTGGTTCCAATTAAGATGCTTTTCTTTCTTACAGTTTAAAAACTGGATATGTGTCTAAAACAAGATGTAAGTCGCTGAAGATTTTTAGAAAACCAGGCAGACTCTTCATGCAATCAGGTAAATGTGAAATTTAAAAAATACACATTTTTAAAGATCTTATGCTTAAAAAATATTAAACCCAATATAGGTTAATTTCTATTACAGAAGACATTGAAAATTTAGACTGTAACTTGCTTTTATTCCTCCAAATAAAACTAAACATGAAATATATTTCTGCTTTCGTTTAAAAGAACACACTGCTCAGAGTAAGATTCGAGGTATTTCTAATTCTAAATAAAGATATAATATCAAGGCCAGAGACTTAACAGAGAATTTATCAGAACCCAGATTCACAAAAACATGACTTTTTCAAGCCATAGCACTTATTTTATGAGGTAGTGCCATTTTTGGATGGACAACATAGTTTGTATAGCATCAAATGGTTTACAAAGGGCTATTGTCACCAATACTATTTTAATATTCAGCAAACCAGTGGAAGCAAGCCAAGCAGGCGACAGAGCAGCTCAGACAAATCCAGACTTGGGAAGGATCGGCATAAAGGATCCTTGTACAATTGCAGACGAGCACAACATGAAAAAGGCAAAAGATGAAGACCAAATGCTCAGAAGTATTCCTCAGAATTGATAAAGTGGAAAGGATTAAGTGGAAGTTAAGTAACTTCCTAGTCGCCACCACAGCGAGTCGGGAAGTGGACAGAAGTAGGGAAGTTAGGCCTTCTGAACCCGTATCCCTTTGCTGGGTGACAGCGCCACTCGGCTCTGCTCCAGATACCACTCTGCCTATCCGAGAAGTGAGGGAAACGGCAGGGGTGAAGGTTTAAGTCTGATTCCAAAAAGAACAGCTGGAGGAAACCCCAGGTAGGGGGAAGGTCCCTAAGACCCCCAAGAGAAGAGAGGTGAGAAGGAACTTAAAGAAAATGGAGAACGCTGAAACTGTAACTTCTGGGGGTGGGGGAGCATGGGGACATCCGCAGTAGTGTCAACAATAAAAATAAAGCAAAGGGGAAATAAGACTTAGTAACAGAATTTGCTGTACAGTAACTTGGCTAGAATACAGTACTGGGCATCTTATTTTAAAAAAAAGATTTGGGGGAAGGGGCAGTTAAGTTTTTAAAATGGTAGGCAATCTGTTTTTGCTGAAGGTTTATTAATAAGGTAGGTCACTTTGAAGGTGGTTCTTACATACAAATCTTAATTTCCAGGATGAAATACAATTTTGTTTCCAAAACAGACATTATAAACTCTTTTTCTTTTGTCTTCAGTTTCCACAAATGACTTTGAATCATACATGAATGAAGAGAAAAAGGAAGATCTCCTCAGTAAGTGTATGCAGTCAATGTCGATCGAAGAACAGGGAGAGCATCTGATGTTAACCTGACAGTCTGGTCCTGTGTACTGATGATGTGCCAAAGGTAGGGTAGGGGTTGTGAACTGTGTCATCTCTACATCTAGGGCAGTATTGTTAGTCGCCATTCAGTCATTAAGTAATTTTGGTCTGTTCAGAAACTTTTATAGCAATGTAATTGGTTTGATGTAGTTCCACGTTCCAATGATATTTGTGTAATAAAGTCTATGTGTAAATATATGCTTTTCTTTCTGGCTAAATACGATTAAAATTTTTGTCACTTAAATTGAATCATTTTTTCTTTAAAACTGGCCAATACCATGTGTAATTCTCTCTGTTTACAGTAAGTCCTAAAACAGCAACATTAGAATATCCGACAAGTGTTTTCTTGATTGGGCTGAGGAAAACTCTTGAAATATCCTAATAATATGGCATAGCATTTAATAGAGAACACCCTGGCTTGCAAAGATGATGCCGAATAAATATTTGCTGCTTGAATACAACTTTTTAAAAATCGAAATGTCAGTTTGTCCTATTTTATGAAAACTGCCACATAAACACTTGGCCTCTCAAACTAGACTAGGTTGGGAGTAGCCGTACTAATGAGAGGATTCTTGACATTATATATTCACTCTACTGTGCTTCCCTTCTAAACATTAGTGCTTAAAAATTTTTTTGTTAAAACTTGGAAAATAGGAATAGGGCAATTTAAAGCAACAGTGTGAAGAATCTCTAATTTAATCCATCTCATCACTTTAATCCTTGCCCACAGTTCCATTTGGTCTCTCTGCTTTATGGTTTTTAAAAATTAAAACAGTTTATCAAGAAAGTATAAATGAAAGGTAATTTTATTACTGGATAAGAGAAAAATGTGTACAAGAGAGTCCAGATTCCTTTCCTCATGCACTATTTTTATAATAAAGTTCTAAATAATCAACTTTGAAGATATTTACAAGGACAAGTTTTTCTTAACATGTGACCATTTTACTGTGTGGTGGACATTTTTTCATAGAAATCATATACTTAAACTAAATAAATTCTTCTAGTTTACAAGAAGCTCAGACATTGTATTAACAGATGATGATACATTTTACTGCAAAATATTATAAAAGTGATACAGTTTTGTGGCTCTTAAATGTTTAATTACTTGATTTGAACAGGGGAATTTAAAAAAACAACAACAACAACAGAAAAAGCAAGACAGGCCTGGCTTTAAGATTTTTTGTATTCGATTCGTTCTACTTTCACATCATCTCCAATTAGCTGATACACGTAAGTGACGACTGTAGAAGCCTGGATATCCATCAACACAAATGAAGGAATAATGTTTCTGGAAGAAAATATAAGTAATTTCAGTGTTTTGTACTAACAAGCCGCAGCACAACAAATTTCAGTTTAAGATGACAATCTGGATTCAAGGAGGAACCTGGTGGTTACATATTAAAAGAATGATCACCAAAAGAAGACGGCCAGAAAGGCTCTAAGTATTTAAGTGCCTGCATTTCTCTTTTGTGAAATGTTACACATGCAATTATTAAGTTGATAAAACCCCCGGATTCCCAAATTACATACTACTCACGTTTCCAAGGCATTATACGCTCCAGTGGCAGAACCTGGGTTGATGTAGAATTTATTTTCATGCTCAAATGCTTCAAATTTGTGCGTGTGTCCTGAGATAAGAATGTCCACATCAAACTGCCTCTGCAGCAGGGCCAAGCTGGCCATATCTCCCCACGGGATGACTTGATGTCCGTGGATCAAACCAATTTTGAACTGCCCAACAGTCACAACTTTCTGTTCTGGATAATTCAGATTCTAAAATAAAGAGACATACCGATGTTTAAAAAACCACCGGCTTTTAAATATTTGATCCCATATGGATGTCTTGCTCCACAACCAACATATTTATTAAACATTTGATTTCTTCTGTCTCTAAGGCTGCAGCTATGCTCCAAACATAAATGGAATTTCTCAGGCAATCCCTTCTTGTGCTTATTTTTATAGAACATGGATTCTTTTGGGCATGCTGTAGAAAATTATTCCCCCAAATTTGTGAGTTTCCTCTACCTAAGAATCCTAGGCATATGACCTGTAAGCTAGGGTGTGTTTAAATTATATCCCATGCTTTAATAGTTATATAGATGGCTTAAAATAATTATAGTTAAAACACATAGTACGTGGTATGAAAAAGGCATTATTCTAAGGGCTTTATAAATATCAACCTACCTAATACTTACAATCCTAAGAGGTGGATTCTCTTCTGACCCCCATTTTATGGATGAAAGAAACGGAGGCATAGAGAGGTTAAAATGACCTGCTCAAAGTCACAGGTTACTAAGTGGTTGAGCCAAGATCCAAACCCTTGGTAGCATGGCTCCAGGGTCTGAATTTAGCAAATTTGTAACAAAAATGTGAATTCTTGCTACTGAAACTGTCTTTACCATAACACAAACAGAATCCCTAATGTTTTTAACAAACCAGACCTATATTCTAATTATTGACAAGAAGTTTGCCCCTTCCCTTCTCATCCCCATGCCTTTCACCTCGGTGCCACTTCTAGTTTACCCAAACTCTTCTTAAAATCCACTTATAAAAAAAGGATACTATGGCCATTCCATTTGGTATAAAGGAGCCCCATGAAAAAGCACCAATGAAGTTAAATAATTCATGAAAAAGCTTATATTCCCAGAAACACAAAATAAATTTTTCATACTAGAAGGAGATTTATCATTTTAAATCCTACAATGTTAGTAATGGCAGGAGGGTCTTAAATCTATTCCAGTCTATTTACATAGAAGGAAACTAAGGCCAGAAAGGGATGCAATCTGCCTGAAATCTCCTTGCTAATGGCAAAGTTGGAACCCCAGAACTTCAAACTTATTTTTTTCTATTTTAAAGTCAGGCTTATTGAGGTATAATTTACATACAGTAAAACTGTCCTTTTTAGTGTACAATTCAAGGGGTTTTGACAAATGCATACAGTCATGTGAGTACCACCACAGTCAAGATATAGAACAGTTCTATGACCTCCTCAAAACTCCCTCATGCCCCTTCATAGTTAACCCTGGCGACAGCTAGGGTAGGGTCTTCAACAGATCAGTGATGTGATCTCACTTAAAAAAGATCACTCTGGCCTGGTCAGCATGGTCTAGCAGTTAAGCATTGACCTATGACCCAAGAGATTGAGGTTTGATTCCTGGTCAGGGCACATGCCCGGGTTTCGGGCTCCATGCCCAGCAGCGGGCATGCAGGAGGCAGCTGATCAATGACTCTCTCATCATTGATTCTTCTCTTTCTCTCTCCCTTCCTCTCTCTGAAATCAATAAAATATGGATCACTCTGATTGCTACTTGGAGAATAAACTGTGGCCTGAGTCAGGGAGGTGGAATGCAGGAAAGTGATATGGTCCTTGGAACACGGTAATTGAGGTGGTGGTGGTGGTAAGAAATTCGTAACAAAACCTTTATAAACTAAATGATAGTACTACAAAAAATACTGATAAAACCACTTTTACTCCACATCAATTCAGTTAGAACAAGTATTTTTAGTATGTTTATTGAGCAGTCTAAAATCAGTGATTTTCAAACAGGAAGGGGTATGTTTAGTAATTTTATATTTGGGGGGGAAGACCTTAGCAGTTGAGATACTGGTCTAAAGAATAAAACTTTATAAGTGAGAATCAAGAAAAGGAAATATTGGGAAGGAAAGGGAAATACATCACCTCATCGAAGTCTCCTCTCACAATATGAACATCACCGGCCAGAGTCTTGAGATAATCATAACTCTCTTTGGTGCAAAGGTTTCCAGTACAGAGAATATGCTGAATCTTTCCTGGTACCAGCAGCTTTTTGAACTTGGCTGGCAAACTGTTGCACCGGTGGGGGATGTGCAGATCTCCTAATACCAACACCAACTTGAAAGTGTCAAGGTGAGACAAGGTGTAATGTTAACCACAGTGTCAAAACCAGATACTCTCCTCCAATAACCCTCCTTTTAAATTAATCAGGGATTCAAGAACACAAAAGAACAGAAGTTATTCATGTAGTTCCTTATCATGACTAAACAAACACACATATCACACATATGGTAACGTACTTTGTCCTAAATCAATCTTTTTTAGTTTGCTCACCAACAGATATGCTACACAATACAGATCATTCTATTTACTAAGAATAAAATCACGCTTTCTAAAGTGATTCATTCACTGAATAACAAAATTGCAAAATGAAAAATATACTACTGGGCCCTATGGAATTTGGAATTTTGGAAGACTGATATGGAAATTCATACTTCTGTAGTTATAATGTAAAATCTCATGTATTGATTCCAGGAACATTAATTTTAAAAAAGTAATGATAGAGAAAAAATTTAATTCTATAATTTACGTTTACTAGACTGACAACTATTTGGAGGAACAATAGCCAAAATTTACAATATTTGCTACTTAAAACTATTAGCTACACATTACAGAGGAATAAAAACAGCTTATGTTTCACAAAGTTTCAATAGGGCAAACATTTGCTTTTGAATTATAATCTTGATCTTCTCTTTCATTATTAGAAATCCTCACTGTCATATATTTATTGTCTAGATTAAATTGCCTATGTACCCTCAGTTTAGTTTCCAAACTTAAAATAACATTTTCACATAATCTTTCATGTGTATTAGAGCATTAAAAAGATCAGCTAAATAAGTGATGAATTTAGTAGGAGGTGGTTTAGTGTTGCAACATAGTCTTAGATGACCAAAAACCTGCCCTTAATTATAAAGGAATAAAAAAATCTCAATCCTGTAAAATTTTAATTTTAAAGATTTTACATATAAACATTCAGTCATTTAACAGACTACTGTCAAAAAGGTCATTTAAAAATAATATCTGCCCTCCAAAGGACAACAGTCAATTTCTTCATGTTGATTAGTATAAGCACCTTCATTCTGTGACAGCAATGTTTTCCCACACATGTCCCATCCATAAATGTACATGTCCTTTAACTCTTTTTAAAAAAGGCACAACTATTCCTGATTATCAAAGAAAACATTAAATATCTAAAATAAGATAAAACAGAAAATAGTTTCGTCACCACTAACTTTGTAAATTGAAATAAAAAACAATGTGTGAAATTAAAATTATTAAAGCAAACTTGATTCATCTTGCAACAAATATCAAAATGATTATAAAGGAAAGGAACTTAACAGGATGTAGATTAACTGCAGTAAAATTAGCGCACTTTTAAAAGAAGTTGTTAAATAAGTTTCTTCTTTATAAAGAGTAGATCCAGCTGGTATTTGCTCAAGGACTTATGTTATTTCAACCCAGATGGATAAAACATCTGTAAAACTAAAAACCACATGAAGTTTCAACCTTCATTGGTAATCAATACAAAAGTACCTGGAGATAGAACACACTTCATCTTTAGAGGGGGATCCCTTCAGATATGGATTGAAGCGCATAGTTAATGTGGGAAGCTGACATTTGAGAAAAAGGTAAAAAGTAGATTTAAAA